AACTTTTGATTGCTATATATATATTTTGTTTTAAATATTTATTTTCTAATTTTATTTCTTAAAATTTAATTTTTATATTTACTTTGGTCCTCATTTTTATAATTGTTATTTACTTTTCTCCTATTATTTTTTTATTAAAAAATTTTTCTATTAAATTTTGGTCCTCATTCTTTTGATCGTTATTTATTTTATTTGAAATACTTTATGAAATGTTAATTATTATTATTTTAATTTCTTCATCTTTTTTTTTAGATTTGATCTTTATTATTTTGATTATTATTTATTTTATTTGAGATAATTTATGAAATTATTTTTTTTTCAATTTCATTATTATTCAACTTTTTAATTTGTAAAATTTATTCCTTATTATTTTAATAAACTTGAGAAAAATAAAATATTAATAAATTATTTTCCAGTTCATTTTCCATAACATAACCAAGCACTGGAAAATATTTTCCAGTTCACTTTTCATAACACTACCAAACATCAGAAAATACTTTACTTTTTAGGAATTCATTTTTCCCGGAATTCACTTTTCAAAAGAAAACAACTTTCCTGCAAATAAACGGAGCCTAAGACTTGGACAGGTTTTAGAATAAAACTAGATGTCATACCTGCGTGATTCCACAGAATTGTAGTATGCTTGTGCGTTATGTTAGGTTTATAAAAAAATCATAAAAACATTATATGAAGAAAAAATTATTGTAATACATAATATTTTTTTAAAAAAATCATAAACCTAAATTATCAATCAGTTTAATATTAAAAAAATAAAATAAAATATATAGTATAGTACATTTCCCAAACAATCAAGTATTAATTGAAGAAATAAAAAATAAATAAATAAAAAATAATTAAAAAATTAAAAAACATATCATATCGGTAGATAAACTCGTTAAGCCTATAAATCGAGTAAGCTGGGTTAGTACGTCAAGTATATGAACTGCATTATAAAGTCCATTAAGATTATAATTTGTTTTGTTTTTCTTGGATCTATTTTAATTTTCAATTAACCTAGTATCTAAAAAAACCTAATTTAAAAATTTTAAATCTGTTAGACTCGCAAACCAATTCAACAAACTAAACATATGAATAGGTTCATGGACTTTATAAAATTTAATAAAATAATATGGAATAGGTTCATGAACTTTATAAAATTTAATAAAATAATATGTTTTTAAACTATTTAATAAAGTCAACAATCACTTTCATGTATTTCAAAAAAAAAATAGGTTATTTGGAAAATTAGACTAGTGTTGAAATCATTTTCATGAATTTCACAAACAGATAGGTCACATGAAAAATAAAACCAGTGTTAAAAGCACTTTCATGTTTTTACTTGGATAAGTCATCTGAAAAATGAAACCAAGGTTTAAAACATTTTTATGTATTTTAAAAACAAGCAGGTCACTCGAAAAATAAGATTAGTGTTGAAATCATTTTCATATATTTTATAAACGTGTAGGTCACTTAAAAAATGAGACTTGTGTTTAAATTATTTTTATATATTTTATAAATAGACAAGTCATGTGAAAAATAAAATCAATACTGAGAATATTTTGATATTTTTCATCCGGGTAGGTCATCTATAAAAATTAAATAATTTTTAAAAATCTTTGATTGTTTTATATTAATAGAAAAGCCTCCTAGAATAGTTATACTATTTTAAAAATTATTTATATTTTTTTTGCACGGATGGACATATTATCTATAACATTTAGACTATTTCTGAGAATCTTTTCATTTTTATACGGACAAGATAGATCACCTCTTGATCAATCTTAAAATTTCATTGTTTCTCGAGGAGGTCGCCTCTCAGATTACTGAAGTTTTGCAATGGACCGGCAAGTTGATGGGGAAATCCAAATTTAATAACAATGTTTTAGCCAAATAATATCCCAAATTCACATCCCTAAATCCCACGAGAATTGATCTCAGTGGTCCCTTTCTCTAAAGAATAAAAACAGAAACTCAATAATTGAGAATAATAAATATTGGGTTTCCGTAGCACTGTAAATTTTCCTGTCTTGAGAATCAACATTCATCTGATATTTCCATTTCACGGGCCCGGTGAAACTCAAGGAGGGCTTGTACTTTCCCTGACATTATGCTTTCATTGTGAACAGGACTGAACGCAATTAGATGGTCTTGGAGCTTGTTTTGGAGCTTTTTTTTTTTTTTTTTTATTATTATTATTAATATAAATATTTAGACCACTTTACCATGATCTGTTCTTGTTTTTCTCCTCTGCAGTTTTATTTTCCAATGTTAGAACTTTCAATTATATTATTATGGTTACAGCATTAAAAAAAAAATAGGGTTTTTTAAATGTAAACATGGAATACCAACCCTTGTGACAACAAATAGACAAACTAATAGGGT